CATTCAGAGGCAGCACAGATTAAACAGCCTCACCTCTGCCTTCCCGTCCCTTTGCCATAAGTGTTCTCCAAACACTCGACCAAAGTCTAGTTTCTAGGCAAAAGGTGGACTGGTGTAATTCCCGGGAGTGCATGAGCCCCACCACAACCTCTAATCCCTGCTCCGCAGCCAAGGCCCAGGGAGCAGAGGGAGAACCTCAGCCTGGTTGGGAGTTTACCTCAGAAACTGTGCAACTCTTGCAATCAAGGCGCCAGCTCCAGGCTGCAGCACGTTCCCTGAGTGCAAAGATACAATTCCAGTCAACGGGTTACATTCCCCTTGCAGGCATCAAAGGGATGTTCCCATCACCCCAGCTCAGCACCACCCAGCACCCAGATCCCCCTACCACGGACAGGACAGGCGTGAAATGGGAACACTGCCTTCCTAAACCCAACGCTGCACACTAACCCCTCTCAAGCCCATGAATATCCCACAGGACACCAGGAGCAGCGTGTCCCAGAGAGCCACCCGGACCAGGAGGTTCTCACTCACCCACACAGATGTCTCCCAGGGCCTCAGGACGGAGGTTGACATCCTGGAGGACAGCTGTCATCACGGCAGCCAGCAGCTCATCGGGTGTTGTGTCCTGAGAGCACAGGGGATCAGTGCCACCAGCAAACACCAGTCACAGCCCTGCCACCAGTTCACCCCCAGAGCACTCCAGAGCGCTAAGGCAGCTTTACTCTTCTTCTCAGCTTACACTGGTTGTTGTTTTCCTGCTGCAACAGAGTTACTCTGTCTTCACCCCAAGTGTCTTTCAAGCAATTGAATACACACACTGCTTTCTCACCTGACCTCCGTTTTTATAGGAACACACTGTATTGGGCCTTCAAAATCAAACAACTACAGTGAGTTATGTGACAAGATTCAGCAAACTGAGCCCCTTGACTAATTTTGTGAAAGAATTTATTTTGTGGCCCCTCAGCTGGTGGGAAGCACCGCCAGCATGACGGGACCCGTTTTGAAGGATGACAAAGAACGGGCATCCTTCGGGCCCATCCTGGCACCACGTTCTCGCTGAGGGCTCTGTGGCCGCGGGTTCCAGAAGGGTGGCAGGTCCGAGGAGGTGAAGGACACGCTGCTTTTCCAAGGGGATGCTCCGCGTGCCAGGGCGGGTGACAGCGGAGACTGGGGCTGGTCCACGGGACACTGCCCCGCTCTTCTGGGGGACGCCACCGGCCCTGCCACACCTGGACCACCCACCCCGAGCATTAAAACCATCGCAAAACGTTCTTTTTTTACACTTTTTCAGAGTAGAGCAGCTCCTGGGCGGCAGCTGGTTGTCCAGCGCCCAGGTATGCGAGGAAGGGGATCCCAGCACCTGTGAGGGGCAGGCGGGCAGGACCCTCCCATCCGTACCTTGAAGCCGCCGCGCTTGGCGCGGCCGATGGCGGTCCTGCGGCCGTGCACCACCACCACGTCGTCGGGGCTGGCGGCCCGCGGGGGGCCCCCGGCACAGGGCACAGCCCTCGGGGCGGCCGCGGGGCCCGGGGCGGCCCCCGAGAGGTGCCCCAGCACCAGCTGCGCCCGCCGCGCCGCCACCGCCGCCATCTTGTCACTGACGGCGGCCATTTGCATGGCACCGCCCCCTCATTTACCTGTAGGCTCCCGGGGTGGTCACAGGTCTCCTAATTTGCATGACACCGCCCCCTCATTTACATATCGCTCAATCTATTGTGTTCGCTCTCCTCATTTGCATGCCGGCACCCCCTCATTTGCATACTGGGGCGGTGATAGTCACAGTCCCTCCTCATTTGCATGGCCCCGCCCCCCGGGGTGACCCGCGCTCCGCCCCCGAACGGCCGAGCCGAGCCCAGCGAACCCACAAGGCCGAGCTTAAATAGGTGTTGGGGCAAACAGGGAAATTTGAAGTAAAGGAATCGGGTTGATAAAGAAAAAATAAATAAAATGATAAAAATTAAAAGGCGGGAAAAAGGGGGAAAAAAAAGGGAAAATAAAGGGGGGAAAAAAGGAAAAAAGGAGTAAAGATAAGAAAAAAGAAAATAAGGAGAAAAAAGGAAAAATAAAAAAGGAGTAAAGATAAGAAAAAAGGAGAAAAAAGAAAATAGGAAAAAGCAGAGGAAAAGGAAAAAAAAACGAAAAAAAGAGCAGAAATAAAGGAGAAAAAAGGAGAAAAAAGAAAAAAGGAAAAAAGGAAAAAAATGAAAAAGGGGAAAAAGGAGAAAGGATAAAAAAGAAAAAAGGAAAAAAGGATGAAAAGGAAAAAAGAAAAAAGCAGGAGAGAAGAAAAAAGGGAAAAAGGAGAAAAAAGGAGAAAAAAGGAGAAAAGGGAAAAAGGAAAAAGGAGGAAAAGAGGGGGGAAGAGGGGGAAATGAAGAAGAAACAGAAATAAAGAAAAAATATATTTTGAAATAAAAATAAACAAAAATTATATTAAAATTATAAAAGCCTATGTGTTTGGAATACAAGGTGGGATGTCAGGACAAAGGGACACGCAGAGCCATCGGGTCAGAGAACTGCACAGATCCAATAGTTCCAGAGAACCCTGGGAATCATCATCTCCTTGTCACCCCCTGGCCCCGCTGCTGCCCTGGGATGGTCACACCAGGTGTCCTCTGTGCCCCTGCCCTGCTGGGAAGGGGCTGTACTGGTGAGCAGGGGACAGGTAATGGAAATGTAGGATTGTGGAATCAGTAAGGTTGGAAAAGACCTTCAAGATCATCGACTCCAACCATGTTCAACACTAAACCACGTCCCCAAATGTCACACCCACAAGCTTTTTGAACACTTCCAGGAATGTTGATTCCACCACTTTCTTGGGCAGCCTGTTCCAATATCCCGCTCCAGCCTCCTTCCCAAGGGGAATTAATTTCTCCATGGATACCTGGGGATGCAGCTTACAGGGGAAACCACAGGGCCTGCTACAGGCAAAGTAAAATAAAACCAAACCAAACCAAACCAACAGAAAATGACTTTACATGGCAGGATATTCCATTCGCTTTTCCTGTTTCCATTCTGTACATCAGAACACTGCAAGGGTTTTACAAACCAGAGAGGCAAAGGCACCTGAGGAGTGTCTCTCACACACAAACACACACAAACACACACACATACACACAAATCCCCACGAGCCACATCCATCCACGGGATGTTTGGGTGGTTTGAGGGCCCTGGGAGTGTTTTAGGCTTGAGAGCCTTTTGCTCTCAAGGCTTTGGAGAAAAGGAAAACACCCCCCCACCATTGAAGGACTGAGAAAACCCAAACCAAACAGATTCAATGAAAGAGAAGAAAACAGCTTAAAATGGTTTTGATTTTTTTTTTTTTTAAACTTTGGTGAACGCGTACTTTGTTGCTCTCTTCTGCCAAGCCCCTTCCCAGCCAACGCTGATTTTTTTTTTCCTTGTATTTGTTTCCAGCCATCCCATATTACTGATCAGACTGATGGATTTGGTCCTGTTCACAGAATGAAGTCCTTCATTCCCCCTTGGCAAGGGGTGACTTTACCCCCTCAAGGAAAGCTGTCCATCACTGCCATAGTCGACTGGCACAAATCCCCGGTGTTGCTCCATCACTGCCCTCCAGCTTCCCCGGATCCCAGCCTGGGCAATAATCAGCCTCTGCAGCTTTCAGGCAAACTTCTAGGGAATTATTTTAGCTATTTCTTTTAATTTGCCCTAACACTCACAGAGTTTCATTATTTTAAAACTGAAATAACCCTTAGAATCATGAAATCATCGAATGGTTTGGGCTGGAAGGGATCTTAAAGGTCACCTCGTTCCAAGTGCCCTGCCACAGGCAGGGACACCTTCCTCTAGATCAGGTTGCTCCAAGCCCCATCCAAACTGGCCTTGAATGTTTCCAGAGAAGGGTCACCCACAGCTTCTCTGGGCAACCTCTTAAATTTTGCTTCTCTTTTCAGAGCTAAGGATGCAGAAATGCTCCCACTGCCACACCAGCACTGCAAAGCCTTGATCTCCTCCACGTGGAAGAATTCAAGGATGTATTCACACAAACAACCAATTTCTCACTTTCCTCTTAAGTCTAAGCAACACTTTTCATTTTCAATGAACGCCAGTGTTAAAATAAACCTGTGTCTGGCGTTGGCCTGAGGATGGAACCTCCCAGTACCTTCTTATTTAACCCTTTGCTGAGCCAGGTGGAACTAGCTAACCCCGCAGGGAAGGGGGAGGTGGGATGGAGCAACTAATTTATCCAAAACAACCAAGATCTGATTAATTATTTAATTACCTTCCAGGAACTCTGCGCGTGCTCCCTGCCAAGGTTTTCCAGCAGGGACAGAGGCCACAGCTGGAAAACTCTGACCAGTTTTCCAGCTGGTCAGAGGCCACAGCCCAGCTCTGCTTTCAACTGGCCCATTTTCTCCTACAACTTCAAATCTACTGTGGGAAGAAATCTGCTTCCAGCTCCCCTCGACCACCACAGATCCACTCCCCTGGTCTGAGGCTCCATGATCCTGCAGCTGCTCCCTTGGGCACCACCAGGGAGATGACACCCCCCTTCCCTGTACCTGGGCGTGGTCTCACAAGGCATGGAGGAGGAGGCACCCAGATCCACAGGCACTGGTCCTCTCTGCCTAATTTTAGGCACTCGCTTGGGTTTTACAAAGACCCCCTGGGCTCTTCCTACAGCTCCACTTCCAAAACACATTGGCATCCTCCCAGCCCCAGCATAGCAGCATGGGCATGGATTAGCAGAGCTGTGGCTTAGCAGAGCAATCCTCGCTGAGATTCCCTTCAGCTCCCACCTGAGTCCTGATGGTTCCCAACGTGATCTAGCTGGTGCTGAGCCCTGCCAGCATCAACAGCATTTAAACATCATAGTCATTTAAACATCCCTCAGCCCGTGGCAGGGGTCCCGGGCATCCGTCCGTGGGTGTACCCAGCAGAGACCTCCTGCACCCCGAGAAGACCCCTTTCTTCCCAGACTCACATACACACACACACAAACATGCACACCAACGCAAAGTCAACACAGCTGCTGCATCATCACACCCGACTCCGAGTCGAGCATCACTCCTTGATTGTAACCGCGTAAGGCACAGGACAGATTGAAACGCCGCCCCCCTGGAGCCGCCGGCTGGTCCCATGAGCTCCAGCGGGGTCAGTCCCCTTGGGAACGGGGACACCCGGGTCCCCCCGACTCTGCGGTCTGAGGATCATCTCCTCCGGCTCGGCTGAAGGCCCTGTCTCTGTTCCTCTGCGAAAGGCAGTGATGGCCACTGAGCATCCGATTCCTCCCCCGGTCCTGAGGGTGCTGCCAGCACCGCCGTCATGCTGGGGGGACAGATCCCATTTGCTGCACTTCCCCCAAGAGATCAGTTACACGGCGAGGGGGGACAACCCCGGTACCGCTGGCGGCGAGGAGGTTACGTGGTCCCAGGCCAGCACCCGCACAGTCCGGGAAATCCCTCGCTCCGAATTCCCGGCGCCAACAGTCCCGAACGCAGCTTGAAAATCCAACAGCGTGGCGGGTGCCGAGGCAACGACGAGCGAGAAGGGACCTGCGGGGGCCACTGTCAGGACAGCCCCAAGCAGGGGTCTGACCGCGGGTCCAGCGGCCGCCTCCGTCCCGCCGGCGCTTCCCAACCCCGCTGCCGGGGGCTCAGAGCCCGCAGTTGACAAAGGGATGTCTCAGCAGGTCCTCGGCCGTCGGCCTCCGCTTCTCCTCCACGAAGATCTGCTTGAGGAAGTTTCGGCAGCAGCTGGAGACGCTGTCAGGGAGCTGAGGGTTGGTCGGCTGGGTGGCGATCTTGAAAATAGCCGCCATGGCCTCGAACTCTGCCCACGGCGGCTTCTCCGTTAACATCTCCACCACGGTGCAGGCCACGCTCCTGCAACAGTGCCAAGCACAGGGGTGAGGCAGCGGGAAAGGGTCGGGGGTGGTGGCCCTGCAGGTGATGTCTGATCACCTGCCTGAATGGACTGTGTGGGAAGCAAACGCCCAAGAGGTGAGCACATGTCCCCCAAAGCTCCCTGGTCCACTTGGCACTGGGATTTCCACTCCCACAGCAGGAGTGAACTCACGAGCCTTGCCCTAAAGCTGGTGGATTTTCTGCCTACGTTAACCATCAGATACTAAGTTTCATAAAACTGCGTGAGAGATCTTATTAGGGCATCCCCTGAAGGGAAGCCCAGGCACAGGTTTGGACACCATAGTTTCAGCAATACTAGCTCCCCAGGAAGCTCAGCTAGAATGAAACGTTTGCTCATTCCCAACTTAATCTCTGAGGTGTATCTGACAAAGAACACATCTGATGAGCAGCAAAGAGCCTGTGAGGTTTCTCTCTGCCTGCTGAGGAGTCCTTGTCTCAGCAGGGACACTCTGCCACCTCCATTCATAGTTGATCCTAAAAAACTTAAACCACATTTCCCTTCCATCAGCCAGGGCAGGTGGTGCAAGGTACATGGCTGCCTGCTAAGGACTCCCTAGGTTTCCCCCACCAAATAGGGTTCTCTTGGAAGGACTAGTTTTTGTTGACCCTACTTGCTTGGGCACGCAATGGAAAGCACACTAAAGGCAATGTTTCCTTCTCATTTATTAGGAGGATTAATACTGTTATCCCAACTCTTTCAGGCTCCATCTGACATCCTTCACAAATCAAATCATTCACAAGCAGCCAATAGTTTTTGTTGTCTTCGTGCCTGAGCCACATGCAAACATCCAGGAGCAGATTTTGAAAGGCCTCTTAGATGTCCTGAGCCTCTGAGCTCGGCTTAGCAAACCTAAAATCAGGGCCGCCAAAACTCAACAGCTCTTTTAGTGAACTTCGTTATCAATTTGCTTTCCAGAACTGACAGCAGTTATGGGACTAAGCTGAACATGATACTCACACACGACAAGAGCTTCCAAAAGCAAGCTCTGATTCTGACTGCTCCTGTTTTGGGATCTTCAGCTACAACATGCTCCCTCTGGATATCCACACAGCTGATTCTAACATACATCTCCTATTTCCATCCTTCGCACTGCTTCCAACTACTAACTACACCTGTTGCTCCCATTACAACTTCCCCAAAGGACTGCTTGATTTAAGTAGCAGTGGTGGGGTTTGTACTGTATCCCTTACCACACATCAGCTTTCCTTCCGTAGCCCTCTCCACTGATAACCTCTGGGCTCATCCAGTACGGTGTTCCCGTGACAGATTTAATCCCAGTCCCAGACATGCAGATGGTCTGGATGCGTTTGCTGGCCCCAAAATCTCCAAGTTTCACATTTCCAGCAGAATCTCTCAGGATATTGGCACCTGGGGTGAAAAGCAAAGACAAAACCACAAGAGATGAAAGCAACAACCTGAACTGAAGTGGCTACAGTGAGGAGAGCAGGAAGGGCAAGGGCACAGAGCCAGGCATGAGGGGGCCCAAAGGGCTGTGGTGGGGCTGGACTCAGCATTATGTAAAATTCTTTTCTCCTAAAGCAGCTGTTCTTCAAGAGGGTTGACTCCCACCAGCATCCCCTCACTCCCCACGTTTCCCAAAATTGAGCAGTGAATAGGAGCCGACAGATCATCCTCCCCACCCACAGACAGCAGAATAGAGCCCCAGACCTCTCTGAATGCCAGAGCCTCTAAGTTCCTGAGTATGTTACACCAGGTTTTTGCATGCTTAAGGGCAGTTAACAACAGTCCCTCTCGCGAGAAGACAGCACAAGATTTTGGCTTCAGCTGCACGTTCAAGATTTTCATGGTTCAAGCTGGTGAAGGGCAGGGGCAAAAATACTTTAAATGTGAGATCCCAGCACTATGCTGTGCACAGGAATTTATACTGGGGCCGGGGGAGGCTGGGTTGAACAAATCCAAGCAAGCAAGAAGCCTCTCTGTATTATCCATTCACCTTTAATGTCCCTGTGGACAATCATATTGCTGTGTAGGTAGAAGACTCCCTGGAGGATCTGCCTGGTGTACTTCCGTGTGACGTTCTCGGTCAGAGCACCGTAAGCTTTTAGCTGGTCCTTTATTGAGCCCTGTTGCAAAGAAACAACATGAACCCACCGTAAGGACCAGTAGAACTATTGTGTCACAGGAACTTTTTAAACTTTCCTGACCACTTTATCATCCACCACAAAAAAAACCTCAAACCATTCTGTGAAGAAACAGCAAGATAAAAGTCCACTTAGTGCTGAACAGAGGAAAGATTTGTCCTCATGTCCCAGATCCCAGCGGAGAAAAAGGTACAATTTCTGATGCATGTCTGTGTTTCCTCCTGGCAGCACTACAGACCTTTTCCCCCCTCTAGTGGCTGGATGGGTGTCACCATCTCATGGAGATGGACCAAACTGATGAGGAATTACAACTCAAAGCAAGAAGATCAACTTGACTAATTAAATTCATAGAATCATTATGGTTGGAAAAGACCTCTGAGATCATCGAGTACAACTATTAACCCAGCACTGCCATTCAACACCAAGCCATGTGTTTTCTGAACACTTTCAGGGTTGGTGACTCCACCACTTCCCTGGGCAGCCTGTTCCAATGCTTCACCACCCTTCCAGTGAAGAAATTTTTGTAATATCCAACCTAAATCTCCCCTTTCCCTATTGTTTCCCCTTGTCTTATCGTTTGTTACTTAAGAGAAAAGACCGACCCCACCTGCCTACAACCTCCTTTCAGGTAGCTGTAGAGAGTCAGTTCTTCAGGGCCAAGAGAACTCAGTCTTCTATGAAGCCTCCTCCCAAAACTTCACACAGCAAGGAGCAACCACGGCCACGAGGGACAACCACCCACTCACAGGACTGCTCCAACTAATTGAATCTCTCAAACTGTTTTGATTTTATTGATCAAAGAGGAAAGGAAGCAGAGGTGCAGATATTATCATCTGCAAGAGGCTGACACCCTTGGCTTTAGCTGCATTTTCTGTCCACTTGGGAGTTGGATGCGTCTCACTGCGGCAGAGCCGGCTTTTAGCAGGACGAACCAGAGGCAGATTTGGGGTTCACACTCAGCTCTACCTCCAGTACTCAGGTTAGCTGGGAAGCAAGAGGGGAAACTCATGGTGTTTCTGCCTGTCCTGCAGCTCTGGGATTGATCCAAGATTGCCAGTCCTTCTGTTCTGGGAACAGTGGCTGCTCTGCTCCAAGTCAGTCTGTCAAACTTTATCAGCTTTTCCCATCCACCCAACTCTGCTGTTGCTCTGCCCAGCTACTGTTTTGGCTTCTTTTGAGGCTGGTGGTGATCCTGTGGATGGGCCTCTCCTTTCCCTTTCACAGTACTGCTGGAGCCCTCCAAAATGCTCTAAATGACCCCCTCACACAACCTGTATGCAGGGTATGTTCACTCATCCACAACCACACAAACTTTCTTATCCTGTCCTCCCTCATCCTGAGGGGGAACATCAAACAAGAAGGGGACACAGGTTCTTTGAGGCCTGTGGTCATTCTGTTTTCCAAGCACAAATTAAATAAAATAGCTTATGGGCAGGACAGAAACTACGAAGTCAGCTATTAACTGGGTTCATAAGAACAACAAGCTAATGATGCACCCAAGCTTGGCCCCATGAAGATTTTGCCAAGTTGTCTGTCTTAAATTGGAAGTTTGGCCAGACCCAGCATTGCAGAGCTGCTGCCCTGCAAGGTCTGGGAACTCACTCACTTCCACTGGCCTTGGAAACCAGAGCCCTGAGCTGCTTTTGTGAAATGAACTGTTGTTTCAGCAGCAAAGTCAATCTGTATTTGGTCAGAGCTCGGGTTTATCATTAAAAAAAACAAACACTGAACTTCCAGCCCTGCTGGACGCTGCCCCAGCATCAAATGCTGGTTTCCTGGCTCTAACAAACATCGGCACGCTGAGGAATAAGCAGCAAGGGGACTGCTGGAATTCCTGGGATTTACTCCTCTGGGTCCACACCTCGTGGTGAGACCTTAAAATGAGATGTCTGCCCACAGGGAGAGAGGGAGGACATGGCTTGGAAGGGACTCAGATGCATGGAAGTCCACCTGACCACTCACATGCAAGATGTGTTAGGAGAGCTTCTAGCACGTTTACTAAAGACCAAAATTATTTGCAACCAGATGACATAATTGTCCCTTCGGACCTTACAAATATCTGTATAAACAAGGGTTTATTCTCCCACACTCTGGGGAACAAATCCAGCTGGACAGGAGGGACTTGGGAGAACAGATCCTCCAGCAATGTAAATAGCGTTATGCTGATTTACACCAACCGATGACTTTGTCTAATGGCTGATGTAATTCACAAGCTCCCAAACAGAAAGAGATGTTCAACTCATCCATGTACATTTTCCAGCCCTGTTTAGACTCCCTCAAAGCTTTCTGACCTTCTTTTTCCCAGGGGCTATTTCATCCTATATCAGCAAAGTCACAAATTGAAGCTGCTCGTGCACAAGAGGATAACACTCCCCACGAAAAGCTCTGTCCTCAACAGAAGGCTCCAAGTGAGTAACACTGTTTTTAATACACACGTGCTGAAAAGCCACAAATAATTGGTGACAGCTGTGGGAGGACAGTTGTACTATTAGCTTTTCCTGCAGGGATTTGCAATAAATACTTAAGGGTGGGCTCAGGCCACAGTGTTTGGAGCCAGATCCTGGATCACATCCCACATTCACCAAGTGCAGATTCCAGATTGTGAACACACCCTGCTCCAGGATTCAAACCTAAAACCTGCCTGCAAGGCTTTTCGTTTCACCCAGTGCACGTTGAGGGGCTTCACCATGACATCTGACTCACATCCTAAGCTTTCTCAAGTCCTTAGGGATGCATCCAGTGCTCTGGTTTAGCTCATCAGCTATGGAGCAGCTCAGCTGGATAGTTTGGCTCCAGATCCAAATTTCACCAAACTCCAGGACAGTTTCAATCTGTTTTCTGCCATTCAGGACAGGAGCCACACTTACCCCTGGCATGTATTCAACAAAGATAGACAGTTTCTTCTCCTCAGGGTCCCTCAGGCACCCGTAGTACTGCACTATCCTGTCGTGACGGAGAGTCTTCAACAGCTGGATCTCACATTCTAAAGCATTCACCTCCTGTAACAAAACAGACATGCTTCCTGGTGAAAGGGAATGATAACTTTGAGAATATTATCCAAATACTGCTCGATGCTGAGCACACTTTTTGCAGCCCCTGTGAAGCTGCCTGTGAAGAAACTGGCCACAGGAGGCTCAGAAATGAGGAACACTGCTCTAAGAGAAAGGTAAGGAGAGAGACACATGGGATACACAAGGGCTTGGCTTTGAGACAGGTTTACTTATTATTACTTGTGTTCACAGAGCTTTTCTGGAAAGGTGTCACTGAAGTCCCCAGCAAAGCTAATGCAGTGTCCAGAGAGGAGAGAAGGTGAAGGGGAGCAAGAAGGACAAAACTAAGGAAGAGCAGCCACACCTGCAAGAGATGATACCTGATACAGAGCAGGTCAATGTGATCAAGGGACTAAGAGGCAGAGAAATCACCAGAGCACCCTGACTGGTGCCACAAGCCAATCAGGACCACTCTAAAGAGGGAAAACAACACCCTGCCTCCACACACCGCCTTCCATCAGGGACACAGACACCTCCACCCTCAGCCTCCAGCCCACAACTCCCCAGGGTGCTGCAGAACAGACTCCTACCCTCATACTCACTTTACTTGTCTCTTGGCTGTCAGGATCAAAAGGCACCTGCTTCACTGACAGCTCCCGCCCAGTGTCAGCATCGTAGCAGAGATAAACCTCCCCAAAAGCTCCTCTTCCCAGCAGCTTCCCCAGCCTCCAGTTCACAGGTGCCTGCAGGGCTGTATGAGAAAGGAGAGGGTTCAAAGAGTGCATCAGGGAGGCTTCAGCATCCTCCTGACCTGACAGTGTGCAGGGCAGTCAGTAAGCCACCCTCTCCTAGGGGCACCAGGACAAACCAGTTTTAGCACTGGTGCTACTGGCATGGGGGGATATCTCCCAGTCTGCACTAGCATAAAGCAGTATCAAGTCCTAAAAAAGTCCTATTTCATTAAGAGTCCTTCCTCCAAAACCTGTTTTCTTAGCCAATGTTGGACTTGCCCCTCTGCTCTGGGACTGGTTAGCGAGATCCAGCATGGCTGAGCAGCAACCCAGGCAGGGACCAGTAAGGACTTTTCTATCTCATGGCTCATTTCTAGGTTGTTATTTATCACTGAACAGGCCCCAAATGCACCAAGTTCTACAGTATGGGCAGTTTTGCAATGGCAGAAGAGCCTGGGTGCTGGGGTGACAGCAATGTAATCCAAGGAGTGGAGCCTCTGGACACATTTGCTCCCACAACCCAAGCCTCTCTGAAGCTTCTGCTGCATGAGCACACTGACAGTCCAACACACAAGCAATTTTCTGCAACCCAGCAAGTGCTGAACACCAGCTGACACCATCAAGGCCAAGGTAAGATACAATGTGTGGTTTTAAATCATTCTCATTGAGACACAAGCTCATGCAATGTGCCTCGTGCTGGGGGTGCATTCACCGACAGTTGACTCAGCTGCTCATGGTAACTCAGCAGGTCTTGGTAACTCAATTTTGTGTTGAGGCTCAGCTCTGCTGAGACCTCAGGCACTCGGGGCTTTGTTTCACTCACAGTTCCTCGCTTTTGTAGGGGAGGTGCTGAAGACTTGCAGACCCTTCTCACAATTGTTCCAACATTTGGGCCTGTACTCATCGTACTGCAGCGTGCTGAGCTTGCTGTCCCCGTTAAAACTCTTGGTTCTGCTGGAGGGGACGAGCTGGAACAGGTTCTCCTGCGGGAAGTAACTCCTGGGGAAAGTCCTCCGACCTGCAGGAGAGAAGGGGGAAAGTTACAGCAAGAACGCACACACCAGGTTGGACCTACCTGTCACCACCTTCTCATGTCACTGCCCAGATCCTCACCTCTTCAAATGAAACAAAACAACTGTAATTAAACTGAAGCAAAGCCCTGCAAACATTTTAAATTCAATTTAACAGTTGATAACAGCAGGAATTACATCTAATGCAGATGCTTCCAGAGGGGTTTGCAACAGTTTAATTACATTAAGGGGTTTGTTAGCTGTTAATCACAAGTAAACATTGAACAGGCAGGGATTTACATTGCAAATTATCCCTGCCATCCCCTAAGTCCATAATGCAAATGACCACACAGCAGTGCCAGACCTGCTTCCACAGGGGTGTCAGTGAGAGATGAAGTTCATTCTGGAAGGCTCAATATGCTCTCTGCATGTATTCACTACTTTTTTCCCAAGGGAATTTGATTCTAATTCAGTTTGGCCTCCCACAGCTTGCAGTTTCACACAGTGAAGGAAAGAGCAGGAAAAAGGTGATGGAGTGGTCCCCAAAGCTCAGAACTCAACAGCTGAAAACACAGAACAGAACAGAAACTGCTACCCTGAAATTGCTCAGGGATTTCCTACAGCTCTGTGAGAAACCTGCTGTAAAGGTCACAAAACAGCATCCTCAAAAAACAAGCAATTTAGGGAAACCGAAAGGTTGATTTTGCCAGGGATGAGAAATGCCAATCATCCACAGGGCTAAGTTAAAACTGCAGGTGTGAGCAGTGGAGGAGCTGAGCACTGACCTTCCTACAGGCCGTAGATGCTCAGCACTTCCCAAGAGCAGAGCCCCAGGGTCGCACGGAGGATGCTCCTCAGAACACACAAGGGAATCCCAAATTCCTTGGTGGTTCTCCCTTTATTAGAAACCTCTCCTTCCCAGGTCTTTCCAGTCCTAGCACTGTCACAAATCATCAAGATCCTGGACCGATCAACCACCCTTTTCTTACCGTCACTGTAGTCCTTGCGGCTTTGGGAGAGGTGGTACTGCCTCGGGAACGTCCCGCCTTTCCCAAACCTCTCGCAGAACGGGATGTCGAAATCTGACAGGAGGGAAGAAGACACACATGATTCCGAGATCAGCTCCGTATCAAATGCCCAGAGTGTTTCTTATGGGAAACACTGAATTACGGGGTAGAACGAGGTGACAAGCTGTTCAATTACGCAACCCTACGCTCCCCAAGGCTCCCTCTGAAATCGCTCCACAGTCACACACTCCTCAGTGGAAAATCAGGGTTAGACACACTGCTCTTGGTGCCCCTAAAGCAGAGGTTTAACTGCTGACTTTATGGACCCTGGCCCACACTGTTCAAGTGAAAGGCAGCGGATTGACATGAACCATGCCTAGTTTCCAAGGCAGAGCACTAAACATCTTATTTGCACATGGAAAACACAAAAATCAGTGTGGATACAGAACTGCCAGGCAGGGTCAGGCCTAGATCCATATATCCAAAACCTTTGCTCTGAAGTCAGTTATTTCCAGGGAAATGCAGAAATCCAGCACTTGTGCCAATACCAGACAATCTCTCCCCTCTTTCTTCTCAGATGCGACTCCTCACCTCTGAAAGCCAGGGACCAATTTATACCTCCAGAGCTCCAAACTTTTATATTTACTTTGATTAAATGCTAGAAAGATAGAATATACAGAAGGGATTAAAGACCATCAGAGTTCAGAAATGGGATGATGAGAGAGATGGATGGACATAAGAGATAAGGACATATTTTTTTAATAAAAGCCACAGCACAGGCAGCCATTGCTGGTAGCACCAAATAACTTGAGATTAAAACATCCCTCCCCATCTTTCACCTGCTGTTTTTCCTCCCTCCAGTTCTAATGACACAGCCCGTTCTGATTGTTTGTTTGTCTTAGCCTGGGGCCAGCAGCCGCTCCTTGGAGGCCGTTCCTGGCCTCTGCTGCTCTTCAGCATGATTGCCAAAAGGAGCACATAATGGCTGAAATATGGTCAGCAGGAGAAGCAACAAGGACAGGGCAAGAGGTTCTCCGGGAGCCACGTGTGAGCGATGGTGCCCAGTGGTGTCTCAAAGCAAAATGCCAAGGGGGGACCATTAAAAACCTTCTGCAACGTGGCCTGACTGCAGCTTCATCTCTGCAGTTCAATCTAGAAATCCTGCCTCAGGCCAGGAATGAGTTCTCCTGCCACAGGCTGGCTGCCATTTGCTCATTTTTAATAGTGCAAGTCATTACAATATTGCAGAGTTTCCATGATTTAACCAGCTGGATGTTTATAAGTGATTAAGCAGTAACTTATGATCCCTGCAAGTTACCAGTAGGTTTCTCTAACAGCATTTGCACAATTGCAGATTATTGTTAATGCAAGTAGAAGAGGTGTAACTCCCTAGAGAGAGTTGGGTTTTGCTCTGTAGGAAGTAGAGATCCTGAAGGGACAACTCCCAGGTACTATCAGAGACAAAAGGTGATCCCACAAGGCTCTGAGCAGCTTGTCAGCACCTCACAGTTTTCTCCAAACAGAAGAGCACAGCCCTCTCAGCAACATCTTCCAACACAGATCTCTCAAAAGCCTTACTTGCTTATATTCATCTACTTCATGGCCTTTGCTGCCCAGTTTGGACTGTTGTTGCTGTAAATTGATACCCAAATCAGGCCCAAAGGTTCTTCAGTGCTACCAGCACTGCTGCAGAGTCAAGAAGGGTTAATGAAGACAAGAGCAGCTCTTCCTGTGTTTGGTGCTCTGGGTCTTTTAATTTTAGAGAACATTCAGGTTTGATCATTGCAGGGTCAATTCTAAAGTGTAACCTAAGCAGTGGGGCTGGTTTGCTTGATTGCTTTTAATTACTTTCCATGCAGTGCCATCTCTCTAATAGCCTTTATCCAGCCTCTTTGCTACATACTTTTTATACTTTTAAGCAAATACAAACCACCAAGAGTGCTTACCCATGCAATCAAGGCTGTCTTTGGGATGGCTCTTCCTTCCAGGAACGGGGGTTTGGGTAAAAGGAGGGCTGCAAAGAGATGAAAAAAAAAAAAACAAACGGGATACATTTATTATGTCAGATAGGCTATGGAATTAACAGACTTTAGAAAGGACAGGCTAAACCGCAAGCTGCACTGATCACTGAGCTCCCACTCTCATCCTGCACAAGAATGAAGATTGGTTTTCTTTGCTGGATCACAGCGTGTTCCTGTGGCAAACAAAAGAGATGCTGCAAAAACCAGGCTGAAAAGAAGCAGCCAAAGATCAGAACACCTGTGCAAAAGGCTTCACAGGAGGGCTGCAGATTTCTCTGCCCTCAGCATCAAGTATTCAACTGTGCAACTCCGCTTTCTATGAGCATTGTTCAGTTGCTGCAGATGTACACACTAAAGTCCTTCAGTCATGCCCAATTCATGCAGGTTTCCCCTTTTCTGCAACATCATCCCCCACCCTCCTCTCACAGGAGGGTCTGTACCACCACTGGGAACATGCACACTCCCAGGAGACCAGGAGGGAGAGTCTGGGATTGGTGCCTCAAGGCTCAAGGTCTTTGAAGTACACTGAGAGATGATAAAGCACTGGAAGGGGATCTCAGCAATCCCAGTTTCACCCCAGGCTCTGTAAGGGCCAACAGGGTGATCTGGACACATTGCTTTGCCACTCTCCCTTTCAACAATATGGGCACAGAGCAGAAATCAGCTTTATGAAGTGCTCTGAAACCTGCTCATGTCAAAGCTGATCACTGTTATGGCAGAGAGGAACTTGTTGTGCTGTTCCTAAGCCTCAGCCTGGCCACCATGCCTGGTAACTCGCTCTGCTCCCTGGAGCTGATGCCATCCCAAGGAACTGGCTGCAAGGGCTCAGCTACATCTTTGCAGGAACAGTCTTACTCCTCTTTCTGCCTTGGAATAACATAGCCCTTCTTGGGCCTTTTCCAGCTCCTAGACCCCATGACTGAACACACCTGCCTGCTTTGCATGTGAAATCAAGCCATACCACCCTCTCACAAACACGCCCAAAACTCTTCTCTCAGTTCCCAATACAAGTGTTACGACCAGCCCACACTCCTGCTGCTCTTCCTGGCAAAGTCTGTGCAAAAGCAAAGCCGGGGCAGAGAGGCCGGGAGCACAAGGAATCCAGCTTCGATACAGCCGTAACAATGAGCAAATACATCAAGGAAATTATTAAGAGCCACAAAAAGGAAATGGACCACGATGCTGAGACAGATCCAAAGCGCACAGAGCAGCAAACCCGAAGCACGCTACACAATCAACCCGACGCAGACCTGCTGGAACACAGCCCTGGTGCTGTATGGCAAAAGCAACAGCGGAAAAAAATAGAAAATCTTTGATGCAGATGGAAAAAAATAATATACCGCTTCCCAAAAGGACACTGTGTCTTATGCACAGCAGCAAACATACAGTTTCTGTGCACGTGTGAGCCGGGACCGAGCAGCCGCATCAGCCATTGAGTCCCAGCCTGGGTTAGTACGTGTCCCAGTTGCTTCCTGCTGGGAAGCTAAACTTAGTTATTGCTTGTCTGGTGTCCTCAGCACCTTGACTGACACGTCTGTGGCTGCTGGCAGTGCACAGAGGCTGCTGAGTTTACCAGTGGTCAATGGAGATCAGACAGCATGCCCGGGGAGGAGGGGACATGGAGAGGCTAATGGAGTATTGACCTGGTGACTGCAGAGAGCCAGAGGGGTGGGAGTTACTGTGAGGGTGGGAAGGCCCTGGCACAGATTGCCCAGACAACTGTGGCTGCCCCATCCTTGAATTGTTCAAGGCCAGGTTGGACAGGGCTTGGAGCAACCTGGTCTAGTGGAAAGTGTCCCTGCCCACGACAGGGGAGTGGAATGAGATGATCTTTAAGGTCCCTTCCAACCCAAACCATTCCATAATTCTGTGAGAGGGGTCTGACAAAAAAAAAAGAAAACCTGGGCACACAAGGCCAGGCTGTCTTTGTCCAGCTCAGATTACTGCAACTCAAATCATACCATCCCACAGACATCTGTGCTAGGATCTGGTTTTCAGCGTTAAAGATAAATTTGTTTCGCTCAGGTGCATCCTCACCCCAGCAGAAATCTCAGGGGATGCTGCTGACTCCACTTCTCTCTCGCTGTGGAGCAGAGGCTGCATTCCAGCTGGTGAACGTGATGGAAAGTACAACTCACCTGTCCACAGATCTGTCCAGAGACTGGCAGCTCCCAGACAGCGAGTCGTCAGGGCTGATGAAAGCTTCAAGCATCTGACAGTGAAAGAAAAGGGGAAACAATGAAACCATGCACTGCAGCTCCTCAAGCTCCAGAACCTCTGCAGAATCAACAAAGCTGCTCCAAAGCCAGCTGATTTACACCACCTGATGCCAGTCCCATAGGGATGAGATTCAGTCTAACAAAAATTTTCTTCCCAGTGGAAATCCATTTATGATGCCCTCTCTGCATTTTTTGTTCTTTCCAACTGCTGTTTGACAGAAGGAAAACTGAGGCAAAGATAATTAGCACCCTGATGCTCAAAGCATGAGGAGAAGTCAATGAGATTCAAAGTGTTCAAAGTATAATAATAATAATAATAATAATAATAATAATAATAATAATAATAATAATAAAAGAAAATATGTATCAGGACACAAAAGATGTGCCCAAGGCCAAGTGGATATTGTGTACCACAGCCAGGACTGCAGCCCTGGACTCCTGACTTCCCGAGCTGCCCTGGCACACGAGCCCAGCCTTCGTCTCCGCTGATAAGCACAGCATCATCAGGGTTTTTGGCCGGAGGAACCGGTTTGGCTCTCACCAGCCCAGTGAGTCAAAAGCTGCATTTGTGTTGCTTCCTGGATGAGACATTGTACTGGCCGGGGTTATTTATAGCTGGTTAGTAACAATAGAGGGTTTGTGTGGAGTGGTAAACCCAGGGGCTGTGTGCACTTCCACATGGAGCAGAGCCTGCTCTGGGCCACGCTGTGCTGCAGGCAGCACCATGCTCCCTCCTGGCTGCACACACTGCTCAGCCCTGCTCCACAGCCAGCCCAGCTCACTCCTGGGAAAGCTGAGCAACGAGGGTTAAACACCATGCGGAGTCACACTTTGCTGGTTCCCACATCACTCCTCCTTCCCCAACAGATTCCCTGTTCCTGTAAGACCTCCTTGACTTCTTGTCACAACAGCTCCTGTTGTTTTGGCTGGACAGGTCCAACTGCAAAGTGCAATTTTTCTCTGCTTCCCAGTTTTTAAACCAAAACCCTCACCCTTCAAAATGCACTAGCCAAAGAGGATGAAGACCTCTCCTAAAATCCACTCCCTGCCTCTACCACAGCCATGCCAGGTCTCTCCCAGCAGCTAATGCTGAAACACACTGATTTCTCAAAAGCATAAAATTGGGAATTGGAGCATGCTCCATACTCAGCCTCTGTTCATCTGCCGGGCTGGTCTCAAGACCACAGTTACATCACAGGCTTGCACAGGGGCATTCCCCAGTGGGCAGCAAGCTTCAGCTTCTAAGTGCTTTTCTGGGAGGCACCTATAGAAGCAGCAGTACAAGGACATTCTGAGGGCAAAGCCCATATAGGGAAAAGCATGGCTGCTCAATGAGAAAAGGAAGAAAAACCCAAACCACCCTCAAACTCCCTTTTTCCTGCATTTAATTCACTGGAGAAGGGCTGTAAGCCACCCACTGTGATGCTGGGGAAAAGCAAGGAGAGCATCTGGGAACCTTCATCAGGAGCAGGCTCAGGGCCCTGAACTGATGGAGCTCCATGAACAGCTGGAGGAGCTGTGCTGATTTACACCCAAAGGGGGTCATGGGGACCCTCCTCCTGCATGCACACACTTTGTCTTAATCCTCCCTAACGTGTTTGGAAGGCATGTGAAAACAACAGAAAGCCAACTTCTGGCTGCAGGGAGCACACGATACATCTGCACTCTGACGCTGCCAAGACTCACCCGGAGTGACTGCTCCTTATTTTATTAATGGCTGTATAATAAATCGTTGCAAACACAAATTTTGCCATGGAAACACTGGCACAGCCTGCACACAGAAGTGGAGCCAGTGGGTGCTATTGGAGTGTAGGGAGTGCACATCTCCCCAGGCCAGCACAGCACCCTGACAGAGAGAACTTAGTGCCTTCCCAAAGTCCCTCCACGTTCCTCCTGCAAATTGTGGATCTTCATCCTGCACTCCCAAGAGCTTAACAAGAATGATTTATGTTCCCAGTTGACTTCACAGGATCCACAGCTCTTCAGAGCTATAGCTATAGCTTGAGCAGGGATGGAGAGAGAGGGAGGTGTAAGCTGCTCCCCTCCAGTCCCTCAACACTACAGAGTTTTCCCCATCATGGGCACCAGTTTGGCTGGAGGAAGGGGTACTGCTCATCACTGAAGAGCTTGCTGCTCTTTTAATACTGAGAATCTGGAATACACAGATTCCTTATTCAAAGAGGAAAAAAAAATATATATATATGGGAGAGGAACGGAGACACAAAACCACAGAGAGAGGCTGTGGGCAGAGCCAAGAACTGTAACTGGAGCTCAGGCAGAAACTGCACATGGGAAGCAGCAGGAGCTGCTGATATCCCCAGGCTGTTGCAATCACAGGCAATCGGTTGCTTGGCACATTCCCTCATGGTCCACGGGATCTGGGAACGCTGCAGCCACGATGGCCTGGCAGCTGGTGCACACGTGTGCCCCAGATCTGTGCTCCTCCAGAGCTACCTGAGGTGCCCAAGCACATTTACCATCCCCACTGCAGCTGGCTCCCAGGGTTCCTGGAAATCGGGCCTGCCATTTCTCAGGCATGCCAAGCCTGGGGGCACCCATTCCTGGAAAAAGCTGGCCTGAGCCCCACACACAGCCCCGCTAGGGATGTAACGGTGGGAACAGCTCCCACAGCTCAGCCTCCCTCGCTCCCAACGCTGTCCCAGTTTAACCCACACAGCCCAGCCCCACTCACGTTCTGGTCCATGGTCTCGGGGATGAACTCGCCCTCGCTGTTGATGCTGGTGTAGGATCCCTGGCGGGCGATCTGCTGCTGCTCCTCAGGAACACTGCCCGGGGGCGGAGAGCTCCGGCCAGTGTGCAGAGAGCCTGGGACACGGGAAAGCCACGGGTCAAAGAGGGGACCTGCCAACCCAAGTCCTTCCAGAGATGCTGTTCCAGCATCCTGGAGATGCTGCTGGGTTTGAGCTTGTGTGGATGGGAATGGAGCTGGGTTTGAGCTTGTGTGGATCTAGAGGTGTGATACTGTTTATGGGCATCCTGCAAAGCGTTTGCAACACCGAGAGTTTGTTGCTATGGGGCCACACAACATGTAGCAGACTTGACTTCAACCCACCCTGGATGCTAAGAGCTGTGCACTGTATCCAGTTGTGCTGCTGATGCCAGAAAGGAAAGGGCTCCAGAGTTTTGTTGTGATACAATCAGTCAATCTCAAAGCAAACCACAAACTCCAAACCCACCTCCCCTCTTTGACCTCCAGGCCATTTTCTCCCTGGAGCATATCACTGCCTTGTTCAGCAATCTGGGAAACAGCCCAGGTGAACTGAGTGCAACATCCCTTCAACACTTCTTATACAGAAAACGATTTGTGCTCAAACACCCTTCTCTACCCTTTCCCAACGTAAAATTAAAGACGAAGGAAAAACAGCTTCCATTTTGCACCTGGGAGAGAACTCTGCAGCTTGCTTACGTAGATGACCCATTCCTCCCCCTTATTCCCCAGATCCACTCTAACTGATTCCTTGTGCCTTTTCAGGTTTTAGGTCTTGTTGCCCTTGCTTGGCCCAGATGCACAGGCCTGGCTCCACTTTCTCTCTGTGGTTACTCCCCTCCATCCCTGCTCTGTCATCACCTCATGGCAAAGAATTGCTGACGGAGATCCGTGCTGCTCCGTGCTGGAGCCTTAGCTGGTCGGCATTGTGCAACATGAGCTTTCAAACAACACAACAACTTGTTTTTAAGCAGACTTCTAAAAAGCACACATCTTTGACGAGTTAGGAGTCACATGGAGATGTGTTTCCTTACACTTCATATCCATTTTTTGCGGTGCTCTTGCCAAATCTTTGGTTCATTGCTACCATTTGGTAACAACATGCCCAGGCTAAGCACGAGAGAAAGGTGCTGGGAAGGGGCCTATCCCATCACGAAAAGTCAAAACTGATCAATCAACACAACTTCTCCCTCTTCAGCTGCTATTCTGCATCACAGTTACTGTGCCAGGTGGATCTCTGGCACAAATCCATCAGCGTGATCAACACCACAAATCCGAGTCCCCACCTTTCACTTATGCAGATACACATCAGGAGCTGCTAATGTTGACATTGTCACACAAGCACTAAAGATCACTAAATCAGGCTTGCTGGATTTACACCAAACACAGATATTTCTGTCCCATGATACATCTTTCTTCAGACTCCTCGGATTGTAAAAATGAAAATCATATGGCTTTGAGTTACTTTTTTTTTCTTCTTCCTATTTTCTCCTTCAGAGATTTCCTGCAGGATAAGAACACAGCGAAAAAACTCCAACTGAAGTAACGCCAAGATCAAGGGGAGAGAATCTCTCAAGTGCTGCAGTGCTCATAAGGAACTGGCTTTTCACCAGCCCTAAAAACAAAACCAGTTGGGAAGTACAGCATCCTCTCTTGGAAGATAAATAAACAAACATTTAACCATTGAGCAGTTCGGGCACCCTGGATAAATCACTGCATCAGCATCCCCTCCTTTGCTTGGCAGATGCCAATCTGGAATGCAGCATAAGGACTTTTGGGTGACTCTTGCTCCCAAAAGCTGCCAGAGGATTTGGTGCAGTGTAACAGCTTCATCTTAGCTCTGCTGAGCATTTCTGTTACTGCTGTGATGAAGTGGGGGTCTGCTCACGCACTGTTGGGTTCTCTTGCTCCAATAACTCATTTACTGCCCAGAAAGACTTTGGTATTACAAAGAGCTGTACAACCCCTGTTTGATTTTGAACCCAGGCAGTTAAATGAGATTTATCACAAGCACAAGGGCTTTGCATGATCTTGCATTAAGCCTTAGCCTGGAACAACTACTCCCAGCCATAGGTTAGTTGTGTTCGACCTTCCAGAGTCACATTTCCTGCCAAAAAACTTTAAAAGGGGATAAGACACCAGCTATTTCCCAGCAGGTGAGGAAGTTAAACAAAATGCTTAGGCTTTTGCATGCTTGGAAACTGCTGGATTGAACCAGAGCCCTTTCAGCCAGGCTGTTTGGGTAGAAGTGCTGCCCAAAGTAATTTATGCAGCTTCACACCTCCAGGAACACTGGCTGCTGCTGCTTTGCATCCAGGCATGCCCATCCACTTAGGAGGAACACAGGAGGTGGTGGGAGAAGAGCCCCAGAGTTTAAGGTTGATTCCCTGTTCCAGCCCTATCCTGTCCTGTTAAAAAAACCTCAGGCAATGCCAGTGCTGCTGGTGGAGTGAGGAAATGTAAAACAGGGGTCAGGCAGAGAGAGAGAGAGAGAGAGAGAGAGAGAGAGAGAGAGAGAGAGAGCAACAGTGGTACTCAGTGGGAGACTTAAATCATAGTGGGGGCAACACCAGGCTGATTGGATATACTGGATAATGCTGCTTTACCCACCCTGAGGCAGAGGAAGAAACAGACACAAGCCCAGACGTGCCTGTTTGACACATCATGGATGCTCTTCACACTTGACCTAACACTCAAGAAACAGCAGCAGCACCAGGCAGAGAGAGGAGGCCCCCAGGGGATTGTCCTGGGATGTACAGGATCACACGGAAGCTCCACTGGGGATGGGGCAGGCTGTGAGGCACTTCTTTATAGGCCCATTGCTGGTCTCAGATCTCAGCAGCTCTGTTTAGGATTCCTGAACTCAGGGAAACTCTGCAGATTGGCGCTGCTTGAGTATCTGACCTCGGTTACCCTTTGGAGCAAGGTGCTCTGGGCAGGGATTCCTGCTCCACATGTTACACACACTAATGTAAAGCCATATATTTGAGACCAGAGCACAGCATGTCCCGAGGAGGGAGAACCAGGACAGCACGGAGACTCACAGTCACTGCTGGCACCCACTGGGGTCTTTCATGTTCCCTTCTGTTATTTTTATTTAATAAGTGCCTTTCATGCAGTGTGTGCAGAGCTCGTGGTGCTGCACGTACAGCCAGTTCCCCTGTGCCAGGCTTGGCTTACCTCCGCCTCCGCATTCCCTGGCTTCGTCCTTCCCCTGCTCTTCCCAAAACTTCATCCATTACTGATCAGCATCAAGAAGGGAAGAGAAGCCCCTTAAAAGTCAGGGCTGGGGAGGGTTTGCTGGCAGCTGCCTGAGCTCACAGCTGCAGCCAGGGAGAGCCCAGCCCTGGATGACGTTGCCGTGGAGCCAGACGAGGGACATGACGTCAAGATGTGCCGGTGTTCCTCTGAGCCCTGGCAGAAACTCAGGGATCAAGAGGAAGAGAGAAACCTGCAAGACACTTCTCACTCTCGGACTGTCAAGGAGAGGTGTGAGCAGGTGGGCCAAATCTCCTTCATTTCTTCTTTTTCAATGGGTCTCCTAGAAGCCCCGTCCTCTCTACGCTGATCCTCTGGGGATGAATTATTATACCTTGATTTAAGGCAAATTTAGGGTACTTCTATACTAATAAGCAGGACAGAGCCTATTTTCTAGCCCTAAAGCAGCTGGCATGATGCACACAGCTAAATTTTCCACCTCTTCTCAAAAGGAGGTCTCATGCATCCCAGTTCCTGCAAAGCTTCTGGTCTGGAGAGGGCTGGCAGGCACACAATGCCACAGCTCAGCAGCTTGGTTTGCCACCATGGAAAACCACAGGAAAAAAAAAAAAAAAGAAAAAAAAAAAATAAAGCTTCTGGCAAAGGTTTCCACTGGAATGGAGGTTCTGGAATGGGGCTCCTAAATAATTTGTGGATAATGTTCTGAAACACGTAGTTCCTCGAAGTAAATAAAAACAACCCTCAGTTATCTCGAAATAGAGAACTCAGAAGGATTTTAGTCCAAGTTTCCTGGCACTTGGATGAACATTTGCAGATGCTGGTCACCAAAAGACTGGAAGGGGATTTCCACTGAAAAGGTTTATGTGGAAAAAAATAAAAAGAAAATACTGACTTTGCATAAGGTTTTTCAGGGACATGGAGTGAAGACATTTTCTGCCCAGCAGAAGCAAAAATAGCCAAATCTCCCCCAGAACATCTACATCCCTTCCAACACGCTTGTGCCAATAACATAGAGTTTTATTATTTTTTGCTGCTGTTTACATGGCAGAGTCAGCAGAAAAACATGAGACATCTCAGAAACATGAAGAACATGACCCTGAACTACCTTTTATTATAAAGTCAGTTTGAATCTCCCTTTAAATGTTGTTTCAAGAGAAAAGCTGAACTGAGTTAAGATCGTCTCTTGATAGCAACCACTTTGATGACAGCAGAGGGAAAACACTGTGAAATACCTTGCAACTGCAAGTGAAGAATAGTTTCTCCTCAAGAATTCCCAGCCTCTTAGGCTGTCTTTTGACTATCCACCAAGTTCAGTGAAATCCCTGCTTCAGGGAAGCAAAACACAGGATCATATTTGTCCGTCTATTCCCTGACATTCAGTTTAATGCTCCATTTGAAACACTGCTCTCCCTTTCAGCTCACTGGAGTTCCTACCCAGCTGCTGGATTACCCAGGTCTGACTCAGGAGGTCAAAAATTGCATCTGCTGGATTGTGAACACCTCCTAAACAGAGCTGCAGCAGCTTCATACAGACCCCAGACAACTCCAAAGAGAAGAGTAACCCTCTGTTATCATGCAGAGGGTTTGCTGCAACCTCTTTGCAAACTAACAGCAAGACTGATGGTTTACGTGGAAAAAAAACAGAGGGATGACTGTAACATGGGCTGGTTACATTTGCTTCCTGACCATGTAACAGTGCTGAGGACACTGTTTTTGGTGCATTAGCAACTGGCCTGGAGAGCCTCCTGAAGATCCCAACATTAGCACACTCTGTGTCCTACATTTAGTGCTGCCCAGTCCTCCTCCTCTGTTAGATTAAACCAGCATGTTATGCTCATTCCTCCACTCTGCTATTCAGGCATTCCCTCAAAACCCATCTGTACCTCAGGCTCTCACCCTTGCAGAACTGACATCTCATCCTTTGTCTGCTTTGTCTGAGCTCGAGATGTTCTCAAAGGCAGTGATATCCCACAGTCAGTGGTGCAGAGCTGGTTGGTGACTCTCCTGGTACTACAGCAGCTCCAAAACAGGAAGCAAAGGCCAAAACATGGCACAAAAGTTAGCAGGAAAGTCTTAACTTTGCAAGAACTCATCTTCTCCCTAGCACAGCTACATATGGAATCAATTCTGCCCATCACGCTTGGCAGTGACAGCTCCCAGTGCCACAGCTCTCCACTGGCTTACATTAACAGCTTAACAAGTGCCAAAAAAAAGGAGCAGCAGAGATGTTTTGCTCAAGCACAGTTTCTGCTGAGGCTCTGTGCCTTACCATGTATTTGTGTGTGCATTTCACTCAGGGTCATCTAAGTGACTCTGCCAGACACTGGGCAAACTCTCAAGAGCCATGTGAGCTAGGAAAAAAAAACCCCCAACAATAGAAAAAGACAACCCTGGTACATCCAAACACCAGGTCCAAAGAGAGCTTTTGTACATGTACCACCCACCCCTGGCTTCAGTAAGAGCTGGGCATGGCTGCACAAGGGGTATGCTGGACCTACCCTGGAAGAACATTTCCTATATATCATTGTCTGAGATGCAGCAAACCACAGGATATGTTATCAAGGCAGCACAGGCTATGAAACAGAGAAAGGGCAAATCCTTGGAGAAAAACACTCTTTTGTTGCACAGAGAAAAGAGTTTGGAAGCATTTACTGCTATATAAATACAGAGGATCTTTGGAGGGTGAAGTATTTCTTCATGTACATTTGTATAGAAGGCCCCACTTTACCCAAGGCTATAATTTCTACAATTGGTGAATAACTGCATGAAAACAATAAGGATCTGTAGAAATTTCCCTGCAACCTGCATCCACAGATATGGCAGAGAACATTCACTGTGTGAAAAAAATCATTAATCCTGCCTATAGGTTGTAATATGAATAAATATACCCCTGCTACATAGTTCTGCGTGCTGCTTTACCAGTTCTGCACAGGGCACCCTGCTCTCCACAAAATCCTCCAGGGTTCCTCACACAAAGCTCCCACAGCCAACTGATCAACAGGACTTGTCATTTAAACAAGCTCAGAGTACTTTAGAAAGCAAGAAGAGCACAAACTCAAGCACAGAAAACCAAAGAAAGCACCACACGAGACCATGAACAAAATCTGCTCCCTGCAGGGCTGCAAGAAGAGACCAGGCATTTGTTGCCAGCCTGGCTTCAGGGGCTGCAGGTACCTACTCCCAGCATCTCCGAAGGAAAGGGATGCTCCCTTTCCTCTGGAATGTGACCACCACAACACACCGCACACCTCCAGTCTCCTGAGAAACAACAAAACCAGCTACCACAGATGTCATTTCACCAACAAGAACAGAGTGGTGGCATGGGGGACACACATTTGGTCCTTTTGGACATGCTGAAGCTGGTCTGAGCCCAGGAGCCAAGGAGCCCAAGCCCATTAAGACATATGACTCTGCCAGCTGGGAAAGGGGAAGATACAGCAGGAGAACGACAGCCTGTGGTTTAGGGAATAACTATGTCAAGGTCCCAAACATCCTTGGCTTTCTGTAGATTCTCTCTCTTCCTTTTGATAAAGCTCAGTGGCACCAAATTCATTGGAAATTTTTATCCCTGCATTTCCCCTCCGCCAAATCACACCCTAGGTCCCCTGTTCTGCTCACTTTCGTGCCTACCATGACTCTGCTCAGCACAACCTGTGCAGCTTGCAGTGTCCTACTCAGGCTGAGGATGAGCAGCAACTGCACTGAGTCACTGGTGGGGGACATCAGGGTGGCCATCCAGACTGTGACACCCACAGGGTTGTGACAAAAAGGAGAAAGGGGGTGGTGGCCAGCCCGTAACAGCACAAAACACCCCGCAGAGCACTGCGTTTCACCCACCTGTTGAGTATTTGCGTGTCCTCTCGGAGTCCTTGTACAGGGATCCCATGATATCACCCATGGACCTGGAGATCCTCATTTCATGCTGTTTGCTGTTGTTTGGCTGGAGGAGCTGGTAATCAGACAAAGGGAATGATCAGACTTGGCCAGAGCCCTGTGGACACACCATGTGAAACCCTGTGTTTGGTTCCCCGTGACCCTATTACCCAAGAACTATTGAAAAAAAAAAAAAGAAAGAAGACACGCACGTAATGTGGAGTGATCCAAAAACCATTCACAAACAATTAACATCTGCTTGTAAAAGTCTAGTAAGATTAAGCTCCAACAGATAATGGTAAATGCAGATATTTGACATAAAAGACTGTTCCTGCACTGCGTTATCTCCAGAAACATACAGAGACTGATCCCTGGCCTGAAAACACTTGGGACCCCAAAATCAGAATCTCTCCTCCATGCTCCCTAGACTCCAGTGGCAGCCTCGGCACTGCAGGAGGTTCCTCTGTAACAGAGCAGAGGAACAGAGAGTGGAGGGTCAGGCTCTACCAGGGAAGACAGATAAGGGAAGAGCAAAGAAATGCATATCCAGATGGTAACTTAAATGGCAGAGGCCAAGTCTTACTGACACAACATGCTACAGGATGCTGTGATTTTGTGGTAATTTCATGTATGACCTTGGAACATGTGTTCCTACATGCAGGAGCTTCAGGAAGAGATGGACCTGCTCTCAAAGGTATGCAAGAATCTAACTGGCTTCTCTGCTCTTAGAAGCTGCCCTGTAATACTGCTGTGTTCCCACAATTGCCAGGGCAGATTGCCCCATTTCCACCCAGGATTTAGGAAATCCCAGCTGATGGCTCAGTTTTCCCCTGGGGAGCTGGTCCCTGCACTTTCCAAGCCTCTCAAAAGGAGTGGAGAAGTTCCAGGGGCTGCGAGCACCAGTGGTAGCATGAGGACAAGCACTGTGAGTTTCAAGACTCCCAGTCTCTCCAGCACTTCTAGGAAATATAAGAAGAAACAGAGTTGCAACATCTAAAAATCCCTTGCTTTACAGCCTGTGCTTGGGGCAGCACGACATGTGCTTTGGCAAGACACTCTGTGCAGGCGAGGTCAAGCTAACAGGATTAACTGCAAAACCACTGAGCTCAGGAAAAACTAATAAATAAATAAAGATGAAGGAAAAAACCAAAGCTTTGCATGAGACTGAAGCATTCTCCAGTTTGCTCTTCCCAGCCTCTAGTGCTGCAAGCAGCGCATGGAGGGAACAGTCCCCACACTGCCACCCAGCACAGCAAGGGCCAGGGCACCACCTTGAACACAGAGAAGTGACAAAGGAATGGTGGCAGCATCCCCAGATGGAAAGCAGAAGGGGTTCTCTCAGAGTTTAACCTTATTTGAGGATCAGCCTGATATTTAACCCTTCATTGGGATGCCAGAGCAGCCAAAGGGAGCTGAGCTCAGCCTCTGGGCTACTATGACAGGAGTATTTCCGAGCTGCGGAGCCAGAGCAGGGCTGACCCCTCTCATGACCAGCTTGCCCTCTGCTCTTCACCTCCAGGAGACTCTTTTTCCACTCCCCAACACAATAACAAGGCATCTCGCTCCGGACACAAAAGAGCAGAGAAGGTGAAGGGCTCACATTCGCTTTCTTTGGAGCGCTCACAAGGATCCGCAGGCTCTTCAGGGAAGGGCTCAGCTCCAACTGTTCCAGCGCTTTGTCCAAATCTTCTTGGGATTTCAGTGGGATCAGGAGCTGGAAGGGATTAAACAAACACCGGGGAATGGCAATGTCACACTTTTGGGTAAACAGAGGAAGCCAGATTCTTACAGTGAGCAGCCTGGGAATAGGGGGATGAGGGAGGAACCCAAGAAGGCGATGGAAAACGGAGCCCCCATGCCCTGCAGCTTGCCGAGCTCTTAACATTTTCTTCCAAGTTCTCATCTACCCAGGAACAGACGCAAAAAATCACAACAAACAACATCTGCAGGGAGAAAGCTTAAAGGTCACATCAGCAATCCAGCCAGTGAGAAGAGGAGAGGGCTGGGATGAAACCTCAGGCTCGCTGCCTGCTACTCTGGGGCTGCTCTGATCTTGGAGTCTGTAGGAAAGACCTACTGCTACCCAGCCCCAAAACAACCCCACACATTCTTCCCGGGTTTCTTCCTGGGAAGATGGTCATGCAATGGTGCTTCAAGAAATCAGTGAGCTGCACCCAAGGATTTACTTGGTAGATGCTCAACGCCCTTCCTTGCTGCTGCAATCTGTGCTTCTGCACACTGACAGAGCCTCCCTAATGTCTGCCCACCAAGTAAAATCAGGGAACACCCCACAAATAAGAGCCTCTTCCCTTTTGATGTGAAAAGTGTGCATTGCTGTCCGTCCAAGAACCACTTCTTCCATTCCCAGCAGGACAAATTCGGCTTCTGCTCCTCATAAGGTAAATAGAACAGAGAACTACACAGTGCCGTGTCTATCAGGCAGCTGAAGGTCCTGATGTTTCCCTAGTAAGTGGCCGACTATTGCCCTCATATCTCCACAGGGAATTTGACCCTCCTGACATTGCTGTGTGGTGTACCATGTCCTGCAGACAGTCTGAAAAGCTTCCAATGCCCAACAGCTGCACTTCAGAGGAGCTCTGTGGCCTTCTGCTGCCCTGGGCTAAGATTAAAAGCACAACTTCTTGCCCCTCATTCAGGGATATTCTGCCTAATCTCATAACAAACAGGACTCAGCCCCTGCAGGTTGCCTCAGGCACTGGCACTGGATCCAGGCAACACAGCACATGTTACACTCATGGCTGTGCCAAAGTACACAGTAATTCCACTGACCAAAGGGACCGAGCAGCCACAGCTCCCAGTAGGCCCTCACTGGTCTCACTGGGAGCCACAGCTTCCCAGAACTCCTGAAAGGCAGCTCAGCCCTATGTGTGATGAGGGTTCACATCACCAGCCACAGCAAACACACCTCAGGGCAGCTGCCACAAGAGACGACTCTCAAAAGCCAACTGTGACGACCTTTTTGATGTTGCCAAGGGTTTGTCTGTTGGTTGTAGGCAAATACACCTCAGACTGTGTGCTCTGAGGTGAGGACTTCAGGGATGACCAGGTCAAGGGAAAGCTGTGGCCCCTGGCCAGCAGAGATGAGGTTTCACCTCAGGAAACTGCTACAGTCACTTCTTCCACCCAAGGACCGCAGCCTGAGCCTGCCAAGCTCCACCTTGGGTGTCTGTGTGGCAGCTGTTTCTACCCTGTGAGCACCTTAATGTTTGGATTGGGTTTCTCCTCTCCTGTCTGATAGGAAGGTTATCTTCCATCTCTGTTTTGTAGGTAGAGAACTGAGCCATATGAGGGCCACCTACTTCATGATGAACAGCAGGCTTAACATCATCGTCATGGAATCATTCAGGGCGGAAAAGACCTCTAAGATCAACGAGTCCAACTGTCAACCCAACATTGCCAAATCCATCAATAAACCATGTCCCTACATGGCACATTTACATGCCTTTTGAATACCTCCAGAGACAGTGACTCCACCATTTCTCTGGGTAGCCTGTTCCAGTGCTTGACAACTCTTTTGGTGAAGAAATTTTCCCTAATATCCAATCTAAAGCTCCTCTGGTGCAACTTGAGGCCATTGCTCTGTGAAGAAGGACCTGGGGGTCCTGGTGGACAACGAGCTATCCCTGAGCCAGGCGTGTGTCCTGGGGACAAGGAGGACAATGGTATCCTGGGATGCATCAGGAAAAGCATTGCCAGCAGGCTGAGGGACGTGATCCTGCCCCTCTACTCAGACCTGGTGAGGCCACATTTGGAGTGCTGTGCCTAGTTCTGGGCTCCTCAGTACAAGAGAGACATGGAGCTCCTGGAGCAGGTTCAGCAGAGGCTACAAGGTTGAGCAATGCTCAGTGGAGTATCTCTCCTATGAGGAAAGGATGAGAGAACTGGGCCTGTTCAGCCTCGAGATGAGATGACTGAGAGGGGACCTCATCACTGTCTGTCAGTGTCTGCAGGGAGGGGTCAGAGGATGGACCAGGCTCTTGTCGGTGGTGCCCAGCAGTAGGACAAGTGGAAATGGGCAGAAACTGATGCACAGGAAGTTCCACCTGAATATAAGGTGGAACTTCTTCACTGTGCAGTGACCACACACTGGAACAGATTGTCCAGAGAGGGTGTGGAGTCTCCCTCACAGGAAATATTCCAGAACCATCTGGACATAATCCTGTGCCATGTGCTCTGGGATGACCCTACTTGAGCAGGAAGGCTGGACCAGATGACCCACTGTGGTCCCTTCCAATCTGACCCATTCTGGGATTCTGTGATTTCTTCTCATCCTGTCACCTGTTACCTGGGAGAAAATACCATGGTTCATGGTTACATTTTGGGATCTGAATGAACAGCCTGTGTTCGCAGCAGATACCAGACAAAGATGGTATTGAATATTTCTCCCAAATGCAGTGCTCACTCTGCTCCCTTAGGCAGTAGAGGTGAAGAGATATTCTCCTGGGGCACTGCCTGACCCTCTTGAAGTTCATAAAGGCTCCACAGCAAGGCTCTGCATCAAGCAGACAAGGCTTCTCCCCTACACTCACCCCAACAGAAATGAGGATGGTGGAGAGAGCTGCCCTCCCTCGTTTCCCCACCAGGTAGAATTTGACTCTGAACTGTAAGTACAGTCCCACTGCTTACACATCCCTTTACTGAGCTCCTCACAAGTGCTCAGAGCAACTCCTCACTGCTGCTCTGAACAGAATGTTCTGCAGGTCACTCCATCTCACTCAACTATCACAACATGAACATGTTTGTGTGCCTGCTTCAGAGGAGCCAAAAACAACAGGCAGAAATTGCCCTCTTGTAAAAGGGACTGGAGCCAGTATTTAGCTTAGATTTACCTATTACCCATAGCCTGGCAAGCAGATTTCACTCCATTTGGCTTGCAGACTGTGGCACATATGGATATCGGGAACAGGTATCTGCTAGGTATGAAACTCAATATAGATTCATGCAGAACCATAGCAGTAATTGCCAGGGTGTATTTCCAGTAACTGGGTTCATTTGATCTAAAGAGAGAGCAGCTGTGACGAACAGCAAAGTTTACCTACACAGAAGTTTCACTAAATAGAGCTTATTATGTTTTCATCTTGCTTTTAAATAGCACCTTCCCCTGGAGCCTAATGTTTAGTGTTTAGGGACTTGGTAGTCACTGTAGGTTAAGAAAGTGAGTGCAAAGGGTGAGTTTTCACTGACTGCAACAGCATTGCCAGACCTCGCTCTGCAAGACACTGCAGAAAGCCAAAGAATAGTAGGAAACAGGGTTGGGGAAAAATCTGGGAGGTCAATTAGTTCATCTTCCTGCCCAATGCAGCACCAACTGGCATCAACAATTCTCAACAAATGTTTGTTAAATATGCTTTTATCTCCTCCCCCACCGTAATGGAGCCTCTACCACTTCCCCAGGCTTTAACTCTCCCTAAACTAACTGGTGCTGAGGGACAGCCTCAGAGGAGACAAGCACGGGGAGGTCAGAAGGGAACTGGTGGACGAAGTCACATCGCAAGTTGGTCACGGAGACAGACAAGGTAACACCTAGTCACACCTGGAACAGCTATTTAGCAGTGCACAGAGATCAAATTCAGACAGAGAATTTGCCACAGAACCCAGCACTGTCAACTTCACCACTAAACCGTGTCCCCATGTGCCCCATCTCCACGCCTCTTAAATCCCTCCAAGGGTGGCGACTCCACCACTGCCCTGGGCAGCCTGTTCTGGTGCTTGACCACCTTTTCAGTGAAGAAATTTTTCCTAATATCCAATTCAAACCTCCCATGGTGCAACTTGAGGCTGTTTCATCCTGTCCCTTGTTACCAGAGAGAAAAGACTGCCCCCCACCTGGCTCCACCCTCCTTTCAGGGAGTTGTAGAGAGTGATAAGGTTCCCCCTGAGCCTCCTTTTCTCCAGGCTAAACACCCTCAGCTCCCTCAGCTGCTCCTCATCAGACTTGTGCTCCAGACCCTTCCTCAGCTCCATTGCCTTTCTCTGGACATGCCCCAGCATCCCAATGTCCTTTCTGTACTGAGGGGCCCAAAATGTCCCACCAAGAAAGCCAAGCTCATGAAGCTGTGGGAAGCAGGTGGAAAGCAGGTGGTCCTGAGATTATGGCCTACCTTAGACACCCAACTTCAAGATACTAAAAGGCAGGTCTGTAAAGGGGCACCACAATAGCTAAGTTTAGTGCATCCTGCTATCCTATAGATTTTACAGTCCCAAATTAGATACCCAGGACCTTTATAGCTTGAATGAGAGCGTTAGAGCCTTTCAATCCATAACACAGCCAGCTGTCCAACAAACACCACACTGTGCTGTCCATGGCCAGGACAGGTTTTGCCCTCCTGCACCTCAGAAAGATGAGCCCAGCCTAGAACTAACAGGCAGACATGCCCATGTGGTACACCCATGGCCAGGCCCTGCTCTTATCTACACCAGCCTGAGCCTGCTGATTCCATGGTCCCACCAGGATGTGATTCATGTGTGCCCCTGCTCCACCCAGCTGGCATGCTCATCCCACTGATCTTGGCTTCAGGACTCCTCCTCCACCAGGACAGGGACTGCCAGTCAGTGAGATTTTGCAGGGGCCTGTTTACCTTAAGTGTAATTTTGGTCTACAAGGTGCTACTGCAAGAGAGATGTCTGATGGCAACAAAGAATTACTGAACAAGTGCCTTTGAGCATAAAGAAAGGGTGAAACATTTAACTGTAATGAGTCTGTGGTCAAGCTACCCCTGAGACTTGCAGTCATGACAGAACCAGAAAACCTGACCCAGAAGATGTTAAAAGCCAGATGCTGGGGTGTCAGCATGTGGACGTGTAGGCTATTTCCCCACAGATCACTCTTGTCTGTTTATAGTGTTTCCACGACAACAACCCTGAATTACTGCTTCTCAGACATCTTCCCAAAGCTGTGGGTTCTCACAAGGAGGAATTTTTATATACAGAAAAACAAAGCACTGGAAATCATCCACAGCACTCAGAAGTCAGGAGTACCCAAAGGCCTGCTCGTGGTCCTGCTATGTGCTTGTGCACATGCCCAGAAAGATGGTCTCCAACATGGGATAAAATGCATTATTTAAGCTTCTGTTTGCTGTTGTTGGAAAGAAATCCTCTTCCAGTGGAAAGAAACCTGGAATGAAATGAGTCATTCCTGGAGAATTCAATGGCAGGCTTTTCCCGGGAGGGCTGTCAAAGAATGCCCAAGATTAGAAACCTGACTGCCTTCAAAGTGAAAACCCAGTGGACATTTTGGTATCATGAGGTAGCTATTATAAAGGGAAAGGAACTTTTTTTTTTGTGGATCAAATCTCTATTGAAAGAGAAGCAAGAAAAAAAGAAAGGGAAAAAAAAAAGAAGAAAGCTCTCTCCATAACCTCTCTCTCTATTCATACTTCGATGAAAGGCTGTAGGTCATTTACAATTAATACTTGAACAAACAATCTTTCAGGACAGATCCAAAAGGATTTGTGTTTAAAAGCCCACCTTTTTGTCATCTGGCCTTCTCCTCCTCCCCAAAGCCAAACCCACCTTGAGAGTCCAGCAGCTCCAGATGCCTGCCAAGATGCCTCTTATGGCAAGATGCCTCAAGAAAACACTGAGCACACCAAAACAGATGCCAAGGATTTCCTCCTTCTAGGTAACAGCCCTCAGCAATACCCTCCTTTCACACAGTGCTGGGCTCAAAGAAAAACTGGAAAAACACAGTGGTCTCTGTTATTGAACAAGGATGGAGGAGAAAGGTCTTCAAGCCTTAAAATGCAAGGATTGCAGGGGGAGGGTTTCTTGGCTGCTTTTATGTGGCCACAGGACCTGCTAGAGGAATGTTCAGTGATGCACATTTCACTGCAGCCCCAACCACAAGAACATCCACGTCGTTCTGGGGCTTGGGGTGAAACAAAGTCAGTGCTAGATAAAAGTACACTGTGTGAGCAGCACTGTCCCTCTGCTCTGGACTGCACACTCCTGCAGTTGCCCCTAAGATGGGAAGGCTTCACATCCCTCTTTCAGTGAGGGGAATCTTCTGTTCTGAGGAAAAGACAATGTTCCAGTGTGACTATTTAATAGACCTTACTTGAAATAGGCCTTACTTTGAAAGGGGAAAAGCCTGGCTTGGAGTCTAGGAATCCATCTGAGCTGTGGCCACACAACAGCTCTTGCATGCTCACTAGCTGGGAACCACAAAATAAGGTTATTTTTGTTCACATGCAAGTACAACACAACATTAGGGCCTTCAGAACAAACTACTGCTCACTTCTGAAATTGGCACCAGGCACCTTAAACTTGCCCCACAGGAGAAGGGAGAAGATTACCTCATTGTTCACACAGACTAAGTCCATTGTCTGTCCAAAAGCATCCGTGACCTTCTGCACCACTTCTTTGAATTTGACTGGTCTTGGAAACTGGATAATCCTGTATATGCAAACGAATACAACAACAGTCACAATTTAGTAGAAGCATACTGAAATTTGGGATTCGACTGACAATTCAGAAGAAAGGACCTGTGTTCTATCATGAAGCATAAACCCTGGTCCTTGCTTCTACACTCACAGAAATGATGCTCGTCTGCAGTGCCCAAGAGGGGACTGGACCTACCCTGCAAGAACATCTCCCAGAAATCCTAGTGTAGCTCCTCTCCTCCCTCTAATGTGAGGCATAGGTGGAAAAGAAGTCCAGCAGCCCTTCACTGGCAAAAACCCAGATCAGGCACTGGTCAGTGATATTTATCATCTCCATTTTCAGCAAGGGGCTCTGAACAGGAAGGAGGGATGGAAGTGGGAATGATGCAGTTTTGGCATCCTGTGACTGTCCTGTACCATCACATGCAGAAATTCTAAAGGTATGTACAGCAGGTACAGTCTATCCCTACAGTAATTTAAATTTTCTTTGGCTCTAACATGCAGCTTGGACCATCAGCCTGTGTCCTGCCCTGTCACAGTCACCAAGCACCAAGCAGAGGTGATTCCGTGAAAATGTCAAGCAGGGAAGGGCGGACAAGCTTTAACTCCCAGCCCTATTTTTATGGGACCCATGCCCAAAATCTGGTTATCTTAAGTAAGTGTCATAGACTGCTAATCAAAGAACACATTTCTGCAGAGCTCCAGCCCCGCTGTGGTTCAGCAGGGCTCAAGAATTAAAAAGAGAAAAGGATCCAAGTGTGCACCCTATGTCCCTTGTAAAAGATGCATTTAATGACTTCCAGCTTGGAAGCACTTCTCCTGCGTGCAAATCCCACGAGCTACTTGTGGCAAATGTGATAACGAGGCAAGGCTCTTGCACATAAAACTGTAGCCGATTTTAGGGGAGTGAATCCTGCTGTGAGCTCATCTGCAGCTGGCTGAAGTCAGCAAGATGATGTTGGGTAAAAAAGGTAATTTGTTCCCGTACATGTGGGGGACTGGGTTGGGTACCTACCTTTTCTCTCCTTCATATTCAAACTTGATCCTGACATTTCGCTGCTGAAACAAAAAGCAGAAAAGGGTGAGGTCCCAAACTGCAGCCCAGACTGACACACAGATCCAAAGATCTCAATGAGACTCCCCTAACTCCAATAGGCATCTGGTTTATTTAGAGCTAAGCTGCCTGCTGGACTCATGGACTTTGGGGACACTCTATGTTGCTGATAAATGTGCTTGTCAAAACATAAGGTCTTCTGTAAACAAGAAGACACTCACCTGTATAACTGTTAGTTTTAATAAAATGCTTTCATAAAGTGGAAAACTGTGAGTGCTCTGAACTCATTTGGGAACAAGGCACTACTATCAAAGAGGCCAACATGTCAAGTGTTTGATGTCTGTCCATCTTCAGCATTTCCCATGGTTTCACCCCAGTACTTTTCCACTGGAAATCCAAAAAGCAGAGCTCAGAGGGATGTTTACTAGAACACAGGAATATTTGAGGCAAAGACTTAAGAAGTAAAAGCAAGCATCCCATAATGAAAGTGGAGAGACAGCCTTGGATTTTAAAATCCAGCAGTGCTGAGATGATTGTATGGGTGGCTGTTATTTTGTTAGGACCTACAAAATGCAAAGTGTATCAGGCCCACTACACTGTACACAGTAAATGCTCACCCTGAACTGACCCCCATTGCTCATGCCAAGAGAAAACACTACAGTTGCCCAAAGAAAAGCCAGTGAAGTCATAGGCAGACTGGACACACAGCTGTGCAGGGACTAGTAAAAGCTACTTCTCCCATCCTCTATTTGTGCATATTTAGCAGCAGTTGAGACCACAACGAGCCTTTTCATTCATTCAGCTTCTCAGACCAGGCCTAAGCCAAGCATCCTTCTAGCATCCCTTGGATCATTCCGGGACTTTCCAACGGCCTCCAAGGCAGATCAAAACCCTCTTTACTTTCCAGACCAGGTTTAGTCACCCCAGTTAACCAGCACTCTACTCTTACTAGTGCACACAAGCCTCCTCAATCAGTAGTTTTCTTCTCATCAAGTAAAAAAGTGTTATGCCCCCTCCCTCCGAGGTGTAACACCAGGCAGGGCTCGGTTCCGCACCGCCGGCATCTCACTGGGATAATCCCAGAATGGGTGGGTGACAGCCCTTCCTGAGCAAAGGACTTATCTCTGGGTCTGGATTGCCAGAGTGTGAAGGCACACTTTCCATCCCCACAGAGGCAAAGCAGAGCCACAGCGAAACAGCTTTGTTTCTAACAAGGAGAATGAGCTGGATGGACGCCCTTTGGTTTATTTTTAAACTGACAGCTCCTCCAGTTCTGCAAACACCCACTGAAGTTCAGGAAGTCAAGGCTGGAGGCGATTCTGTTGAAAAGCTTTAAAAAAACCAAAACAAAACAATAAAAACCCCCAGCAGATTCAGGGTAAACATGTTGGATCACCCGAAACGCATCCTTTCTATCTCTGTTCATGGCATTTTCTGTGCTTCCGGAAGGGCTGGGAAGAACCAGTGCTGGGACAGTCACCAAATGGGGCACTCCAGCAGTGTTATAGGCCTGTGCTAAACACGCAGTTACATCACCTCGCTGTCTAGAGCCAGTTCTCCAGATCCACAGCATTTGGACAAACTCCAGGTTCATTTCCAGAACCAGGCCCAACATGTAAAAATACCAAATTAATTCTAAACCAGTCTAAAATTCAAAAGGAGAAGCCTCGACCATAACCATTCTAGTGTTGAAGGTCCAAATCATTCTGGAGAGACAAGCAAATACAGGTGGGATTGCCACCATGGATTACCTCTGTTGGACAAAAAAGAGGTACAGGCTCTTTTATGCCAATTTTTATTTGCTTGTGCCTTTCTGAACACGCCTGGCTGGCTCATTCCTCCTGGATGCTGGTAGTAAATTGGCCAGTGTGGGTTCACTGGCTGTAACACCAGAAAACTCTTCTCTAAAGCAAGAGAAAAAAATCAGGGCAAGGAACTTTCGAGGTTTCTCCTGACAAAGGAGCAGGACGTGGAAGGGAAAAAGCTCTCACAGCTCTGGCCTCGCTGCAGGAAACCTTTCTAAACACAGGTTTCACTTTCACCACAGCCCCGAATGCTGCACCGAGCTGGGACACGGCACACGCTGCCTGGTTGTGCTGAGCAACACAAATTTCACAGACAAATAAGTTTTGAAAAACAGCTTGTGGTTGGAAAATGTCAGAACACTCGTCTAAAGCTCCAGAGAGAGAGAGAAGAAAATGAAAAAAAATGAGCCACGACCCTGCTGCATCCTTTTCTTCTACATCAACAACAAGGCTGATGTGCCGTGGCCCGGAGCCAGCAGGAGGACGCCAGCTGCCCCACACTGCTCTGCTCTGCTTCTGAGCAGAGCTACAAACACCCCGGCTGCAACAGGGGAATGAAAACTCACTTCATTTCTTAATTGCATAATTTTTTTTCCCGTATAAAACAAACTAACCTCTTGCATCCCTCAAAGAAAGCAAGACCTTAAGCTCTCGAACATTTGCAAGATGGATAAATACATATTTATTACTCTGAGAAGTTGGTTACTGCTTTATTTTTCATTCTTCCCCTGGCTTGCTCACATTTTTGACCCACAGCTCAAGCTGAATTCGTCACTGCTATCAGCAACAAATACTTTTTTCCTTTTTAAAAAAAAAAAAAAGAGTGGGCAGTGCCCAAAGTACTAGGAAGTCTCAGGGGATGCAAAGCACTTCCTAAACGCTGGAGCAGGCTGTGATTTTTTACACCCATGGAAATCTGGTTTGGAGCAACTGGTTTAAGATTACACAGGGAGTCTGGGGCACCGCCAAGTACTGGAGTAAAATCTCCTGCAACTCTGTACCCAGTGCTTCAAATGCACCATCAAGGGGAAGGCAGGGTCAGCACCTTCTCTGTAAGGACCTCAACACTGCATGCAAATGTTGAGGTGGAAGAGGTGTGGGTGGTGGAGGCTGGTGGGTTGTACTCACTTCTGCAATTTTGTGAGGAATGAAGACAATGAATCCTCCTTGCACAATCCAAGTTGTACTATTTACCCTCCCTGCCATCAGATGTTAAATGAGGTTAAGGGCAGCCCTGCTCCCCCTCATTTGTTGGTGTTGGAGAACAAGCCAAGACATCTAAGAATGTCTTAGTGGAGGAGAATGTCCTCAGTGGAGGAGAGGGGTAAGGCCAGTCACAGGCACCAGCCTTAAATCCTGAGCTTGGGCAGAGCATTTCAGCAATGGTTTCATGGAGCACTGGGAGAGCTGAAGCAGGTAATGGAGCAAACAAGGGAAACTGAGGCACAAAGGGCTTTGGCTGAGGGTATGAAGAGAAAGTCCAGCCTGGAGAGGAGAAGGCTCCATGAAGACTTTATTGCAGCATTTCAATATAAAAAGGGGGATTTATAAGATGGAGAGAAGCTTTTCACCACGTCCTGTAGCGACTGGACAAAGGCAACAGTTTTTAACTGCAAGAGGCTAAATTTAGGTTGGATATAAGGAAGAAATTTTCCGTGCTGAGGTTGATGGGACACTGGCACAGGTTGCCCAGAGAAGCTGTGGATGCCCCATCCCTGGAAGCATTCAAGGCAACGTTGGATGAGATCTTGAGCAACCTGATCTAGTGAAAGATGTCCCTGCCCACAGCAGACGGGTTGGACTTTACAGGCCTTTCCAACCCAAACCACCCTGTGATTCATTCTGTGAAGCCGAAGAGTGGTAGAGAGAAGCACAAAATTTAGGTGCTTGGTCTCCTGGGCTGTGTGTAGTGAGCAACTTTCCCTCTCCACGTGCATTTCCGTACGACACGGGGCACGCAGGAGCCCACGTCCCGGCTGGCGCCTGCAGACCCTGCTGCGACACAAACAAAATAAGCGACAACCCTGACAGGAAATACCACAGTCATTCCCTTCGTTTCTAGAATAATTTCTTCTCCAAAATGCTTGGACCGGCATTTCCTCCAGCCCTGCTAACAAATGGTATTTTACTCTTTCTTGCCATACGCCTCCAAAAGGAAAAAGCAAAGCCACCGCAGCGGCCACAAACCCAGCACCATCTTTCCAGGCTTTCCTTGAGGTATTTTTAGCTCCTTCCTCAAAACTTATAATTTCACAAAGAGAAAAGGCCACAGCTGCCAAGCTTCAGAGGAATCCCTGATGGCAACTGAGGGGGGAAAAGGGGCAAGTGCTTCTGCCCACTCGGCTGGGGAACATGTACCCCGGCAGGCTCGGCCAAGCTCGGCCCCCGGAGCTGGAGCAAGCAGCACTGAGCACTGGTTTAGATTAAGGAAAATGCTGGAAAAAAATGGAAAAAGTGTTTCCAAGCGAGGTGAATCATGATCTTATACAGAGATCCCTGAAGAGCTGACTGCTGTTTGTAATAAAAGCACACACGGAGAACAGGAAAACAAGCCGTTAGGCCTAAAATGGAAGCGGTTTTAGAGAAACATAAGGTGCTGAACACTCTTTGTTGCTGCACAATCAGAGGGTTGATCAGATTGGGTTCCAAGCCAAGCAACGCCTGTGGAGAAGGCTGTTTAATGGCAGAGGGACACCTTCACTGCATCAATGCCACTGATGGTAGGCAGGGAGCCAGCAGAGGAGGCAGCCCCACACCTCCACACCTGCCTGTGTGGCACAGAGAGCTGAAATACCTAAAACTGCCACACTGCAAAACCCCAGACCAGCACCAAACTCAAAGACTCTCCCCAAACTCAGCTGCCCTCAGAAACAGTGTTCTGGTCAGACCCCACGACTGTGGCTTGCTTTAAAGCTGCTCTTGTCAAATCTAACCAGAGGACAGCTTTGCCCATGCTAAGACACCACAGGGATGGGGCCTTTGGATCACTTCTTCCACCCAAATCCACAGCTGCCTCACAAACCATCTGGGACAAAGCTTCATACTTCAGCATTAACCCTTCTGTTGTCAAGAAAGGCAGAAAAATCATCACAAGGGGCCTCCTATTCCCTATGGTGCTGGTCCGAGACGGGCTCATTCCAGCCTCGCTCATACCCACCCACCAGACTTTGGGCACTTATTTTGCCTCAGTTTCCCCCTGAGGTAAAAGAGCGACAAGGAAGGACACCCACTTCTGCATGCCAGAGGGTAATCAGAGGGATTATTTTCACTTCTCTCATTTTCTTACCCGTTGGATTAGGAAACAATGAGGAAACCCCGCGGAGCCGCGCGCAGCCTTCAGGCGTTAGTGCTCGGGTTACTCCTTTGTACAAAGCCACAAAGCAGTGGGATTTCTCCCCAGATTCTGGCTTTGGCTAAGAGGAGTCAGCACCACAGGGCCAGGCTGGGGGGGGGGGGGGGGGGGGGGGGGGCCCGAGCCCCCCCCCGGGGGCGACTTTTTTTTGTTTGGGGGGTCC